GGTCGGCGTCGATGAGGACGGTGCGAACGCGGTCGAAAATAAACCTAAACTGACGTTCGGCAACACCGTTCTGTTCAGGAGTACGCGGAGCGCTGGTTTTGAGCTGAATACCACGTGCCTTCAAGAACCGCTTCAGGTCTTCGTTGATAAATTCACCCCCATTATCGACGTGCCAGACCTTAAGCTTGCGACCTGTCTCACGCTCGACCATCTCCAACCACTCCTTGAATGCAGCTACTGCATCACTCTTGTGACGCAGGTAAAACATCCAAATCCAGCGAGAGCAGTCATCGGTGAAAGCGAGGGCATATTTCGATCCGTTCAGAGTACGGACTGGAGCAGTCCAAACATCTGAATGAACGTGATCGAGAATCTGTTCGACATTTTCCTCTTCCGAAGGAGGAAAAGAGGCACGAGTCATCTTGCCCTCCATGCAAGATTGACATACCGGCGGCTCAGCATTGAGTTCCGCCGTAGATAGTTTCACACCTGAAATGTGACCCTTTCGAACGAGAGCACACAGCGCAGGGTAGCCTAGATGCCCTAGACGCTGATGCAGCTCAAGCTTTGAGGTCGGAGGTCGAGACGAGGTGGAAAAAGAATTCTCCGTCGACGAGGAGGAATCGAGGTGATAGAGGCGATCGCTGCCGAGAGAGGCGGTCAGAATAACCTTCTCGGACGAAATGAGGTTGCGGATGAGCTTGCCACTGTCACCCTTCTCAAAGGTAACACAGCGTCCACCGCCAAAGACGGTGTAACAGTCCGCCTGATTAAGCCGCGACACTGATATAAGCGTCGGCTGAGAGTCAGGGACATAACAGGTATCTTTCAACCTGAGTCGGACGTTACCACCCTTAGGATGGGACGCTAGTAGCTGTACTTCACCGCGACCCTCGATTTTCCTCGAACCGTTGCCGAACCCGCTGATATTTCCGGATACGGCTTGGGCGTAAGAAACGAAGTCGCGTCGAACGGAGTGAATGTGTGTCGATGTACCGGAATCGATGATGGTAGACGCACCCGCTGTACGTGCACTGTATGCGGAGTTGTTGGTTTGGGAGGATGACGTCGGAGGTGTAGCCGGAATGCTCTCATCACGCAGGGAGTAAGAGGAGAAGTCGGCCACGGAGGCCATTAAGCATTTCTCGAAGCGTACATTATTGGATTTTTCGTCTCCCCCTCCATCTTCTCAGGATGTGGCTCTTTAGCAACTGGTCTTCTTCGACCTTGAGCATTGGGTTGAGCATTTCCCTGTCTTTGTACTATACTTATTTTGCACTGGCTGTACAGGATTCTGCTGCACCGGAGGTGGATCTGGACCTTGAGTTCTACGTGTTGGTGACAGAGGTGGACTCTGAATATCCTGGTTTTCATTCTGTCCTGCTAAAGTACCAGCATTTCCAGTGTTCTGCATCTCAGCAATTCGGCCAGCTGTGCGAGGTGTAAGTTGAAGTTGCTGGCCATTCCAGTTAACCTGAACAAAATTTGGTTGCTGTAAGGGAGATCTCCGGTGTACAGGGCTATCCAGAATGCGATTGACATGCTCTTGCTCCTGAGCTGCATTTCATATGCGCTGTGGAGTATTTGGAGGCATCGATCTATTTACAGCAGTTTGCAGATGTAATGACACCACGTTGCATCACATGTAAAGAAAGCACGAAGAACACGTCTTCTTGTATCGTCTCGTTCTTGCTCGTTTCTTGCCCAATCTCGACTATTCTTGTATGTATGAGGTCGCCTTAATCTGAGCCTCAAGACGCTGGTACTTTATTGGCAAAATTCCGACTTTCAATTTGGCCGACATCCACTTGACATCCAGCTTCTCCAACATTGTCGCGCTCGGCGCGATTCTGGACGGAATTGCCCATGTGTAGGCGCACTTGGAAGGCATTTCTGGTCGCTCTTGGCATATGTGCAAGTTTAAATTGTGGCTGCCGGGTGTATATAACAACTTAGCAGAATAATTTGTTTGGGACCATTTGATCTTACTCCATCTGCATAGCAGCGTTATGCACACAGAATGAGTCTTGAGATCTCCAGAAAATAGTCATCTGGCATGCTTAGCATTGTATGTGTGTTTCAAAGTGGCTAATAGTAAGTAAGCCACGCAGACTCCAGTGGCAAACGAGCAAAAAAATAGAATACGCCACAGCGAAATTTGGCGAAAAATTAGCATCCTTTCCTTTTGAGGACGCACCCCACTGGTGCTATACACCGCACGGCAGAGAATTGTTACGCGCGCCTGAGAAGGAACAAAACCAGAGAACAAAACCGTGATCACGGTGGAAGTAGAGAAGAGACACGAGAACAATAAGTTATCCAACCGGAATCCGCGCTACAAATGCATATAGATTGAAAGCGACTGGAACTGCCTTCCTAACGCGCGTACACACGAGGCATTCTCTCCAGAATTGCGTCCAAGACGGCGATGACGATGACGAGCAAGGTGGATGTCGGCCAAAATGAAGTCAGGATTTCGGCGATAAAAGATAGTCGTTTTGAAGCCCGGATTACGGCGAGTCCTCCGATACCAAAATCATGCTAGTTGTCGTCGAAACGAGAGAGATACGAAGGAGAGAAGAAGACGTGTTTTTTGTGCTTTCTTCTCATGTGATGCGACGTGGTGTCATTACATCTGCAAACTGCTGTAATTTTATTTTGCTTGAGAGAAAGGATTGGCTGGTTGATTTGGCTCATACATGCAGTAACATAAGATAATGTGGAGGATGAAGTTTATCTTGAGTGCTAATGTTAACCAAGAAAAAGAAAAAGAATAAGCTGCAAGCAGCAAATGGCTAGAAGTGTAAGAAATACCAAAATACATGTCATGGAGGAGGGAAAGGAAAGAGAGAGCACATCCATTGAGCAACTACACATACTACAGCTGTTTCGGAAAAAGAATACGGGTTTCGGCATTTGTTGCTCCTCAATTCTTTGTTGACACTTGCTTGACCTTGAGTCTGTTTGCGGAATCTGATTTCTCGCTCGCCCGGCCTCGGTATATCTCCGGGAAAGTTCTGTGGGTACCATAGAGCATTGGTCTATTATCTGGTTAAATTACAATTCTTATATGGACCCCAGCAATCGTGCAAGCTGGTCTGACCCAATTGTGTTCCTTACGGCACCTTCCGCCTGAGGCAACAATTTGTGGAGTTTTTGACAGAATCGTCAACAAGTGTAGACAAAAAATCAAAGAGGAAGAAATGACGAAACCCGTATTCTTTTTACGAAACGGCTGTATATGGTAGGGCATGTCTATACATCCAGGTTGAAGCAAGGTTGAAGCGCGCAAAGAGGTTCAATTTTGTTTCGGCGCGAATTCCGAAGTCACGTGACACTAATTACAGTTGCATGTCCGAGCCTGAGGCCACGGAGTCAGGACTCCAGGACATGCTTACAGTACAAAGCACCTGGACGGAGATTTGTAAGCATCTGCATTCCGGAGCCCTATACCGATGAATGGGGAAGCAAGTTTCCCCATAACCAGTAATTCCTGCGGTGCATAATCTGGGTTTGTTGAAATCTCACTCTTGTCAACCTGGTATCGTTTCGAAGCTGCTTCCGACTCTGTCTGCGTCACATTGACATTATACATAGTAGGTGGGGGTTTCCATTCTCACTCTCTGTGGATGCTAACGTAATGACTTGGGAATCCATAATTCCTTCTCAGTCTGGACATAATATGAGGAGTCCCCCAAAACAATAGTGCGCTTCCGCTTGTACATCAATGAGTGTTTGCCATTGGGTGATTTTCTCAGCATATATCCTATTTTTGAGCCCTGTGAGCACTGAGCAACTTTGGCGGCTTCAACGAGCGCTGACTGGCTCGAAGGCGGCTTCACAATGATGCTTTGAATAATTTTGACATGCGGAATTTTGTGTCGATGTTTCCGGAGCTCAGTAACTCATCCTTTTTAAATTTTGCTTTGGTTGAAAACCTCTGGATGAAAATATGGAATAAGACAAGCGGAGTATACCTCCTTAGAGCAACTGGCATGGCGCTGATGCAGTGGGTGTGGCCTACATACACAAGCCCCTGCAATTATTCTCTTCGTTGCTCAACTCCGCCGGTATCTGGATACCGCTATTTCCCACCGCCATCAGTATCGAGCCGAGATTTTTGGAAAGTGTCCCGTTCGGTGAGAAAACCACATACAGTCGTAAACTAGGAAGCGCAACGATTAGCTTTCCCCGCCGATTATTGGATGAAAAATGCACCAAAACTCTGAGTTTTGTGTGCTAGGGTAATAGCCCCGCATCGGTTCTGCAGATTCGTCAAAAATTCGGGGTCGATACAGTCTGTTTTGAGTGAGTTCAAGGGCCAAAGTTTGGCTCCACCCAAATGGGCCAAATAACGTAGAAGAGCAACAACAGCAAACAAAGCTAGAATCCTCCCGCAGGTCGCGACAACATAGAGCATGTATATTTAGGCCCTACAAGTATCATACCACAAATCAAGCATGCACAGGAACACCAGGTGGTGTTTATATTGCAAGGCAAATTTCACAATTCAGCTGAAAACATCAAAAATCAGCAACAAACTTGCAACAAACCAGCTAGTTCTAGTCCTTTAAAGAAGCTATTCAGTCTAATTTTTTTGCTGGTGGGAAATATGGTTTGTGGGGACTTTTTAGACACCAAATTTTCCATGGAGATGTTCAAAGGTATGGGGAAATCACAAACTTCCTTCCAAAATTGGGCATTTTCGACAAATTGCGCTCCCACTGCTCAGGGAAGTAATTTTTAGGCTCCAAAAAGTGGCTCATTGAATTCAGCGACCTCAAAAATGGTAGGAGAGTGCAAATTCTATCTCGCCAAAATATCCGCGGGTACGGAATATGCATGTTGCTCTTCTACGTTACGTTGCGCTTCCTAGTTTACGACTGTAGAAACACTCAGAAAAAAAAGTGGTCTGAAATTTTTGTGGGTCATATAGCAAAAGACCGAGGGACATTTTTCTCAAAACCGCGGAGGTTATTGAAAATGTGTAAAAGGAAGAATGCACTGGTCGAGGATCGAACTCGAGACCTCCCGCATATATCGTGGTGGCTCTACCAACTGAGCTACAATTGCGGCGAATTTAAATGCATTACCAAAAAAAGGAAATTACCATCAATCTGCATCCCTTTCGCCCCCAATGTGCCCAGAGAAGGAGTTTGGATACCGGACGGTATTGTGTGGGATGAATTGTGGCCAGTGGCGCACTTAAAGCATGTTGTTTGCTCCAGATTTGAGCAAGAAATGGCTTGGTGAGTGTAATCAAAATCAGGCAATTGCGGAGAAAGATACCTCTTCACCGGGCAATCAGGGCATACTTAGACCTCAGAATTGGTTCTCCAGTGTTGAACATCCATGACAGGCTCACGATATGGGCAATTATGCGCTCTGAAGGGCCTGATTGATGGTAATTTCCTTTTTTGGTAATCCATTTAAATTCGCCGCAATTGTACCAGTCCGTTAATTTGGGACCGGATCCAAACATGTTGGACTAAGTCACTAGCTGACTTATGACTCAAGGCTATGCAGTATTACAGCATGCTTGTTAGTTGAAGCAAGGTAATGGTTCTGACAATTTTGGCAAATCAGCCCAATAAGAACCCTTCATTGAACCTCTATCTAAGACTTGTATTAGGCAAAATTCCCAATCTGGACCTTAGCATCGTGCTATAAGCCCTCGACGTCGAGCGTGACAATGTCACAGTGTGATGCTGACATAAGGGTGCGGGGATCCCACGCTCTCTATCTTAGTGCAAGAGAAGCGGTGACTAAGTGACGCGCACGATAGTCGAGTCTCTCTCTACCTCGCATTTGGCTCTGCTTTTAGATATCTCAGATGTCAGAGCTCTGGAAAAGTCGAATCATGTCATCTTATTCACTGTGTCCAAACTGTGTCATCCAGTTGGGTTCAAATATAGCTGGCTAGTTTCCAACCCGAAAAGATTGGGCCATATATTGTAATTCTCGCAGATAGAAGCAATGCTGAAATTCACTCCCCAAGGACCCCAACATCGTGAAATTCACAATGAAAAGGTGCCTGAAGCAAGGTACATGGTTCAGGTCACCAGTACTTACTACTGTGCCGGCTCGGTATATGAGATTACTGTAGTATTTTGTTCAATTCGTAAGCCGATTTGGGGTGTGACATCTCATACGAACTTGATCTTTCGTATGGGGGCCCGGACCGGTGTGACTTGCGAAAATTTTCGTTTTTTTTACCCCCATTTTGGGCCGAAAACAGGCGAAAATTTGTGTGACGTTGGGGGATCGTTCGTATGGAACCCTCGTGACGCTGTGACTCGCAAAAATTTTCGTCGTTTTTGGGCCTTGTGACAAGTGTACGGTTGGCGGGAAGGCCGCGGTTGGTTTCGACTTCTGATTTCTGTCATCGGCCATTTCGGGAAGTTGTCCGAGCACATCCTTGCATACAAAACCAAGCACCACTTTGTCATAGGGCTAGTGGGGGTCGATCTGACACTAAGATACGTAGGGTGGTCGGCTGGGGCTAGGAGAGTGCCAGAGTTGAATAGAAGGTTTGTTATGCTGTAAGGGGAGAAGGGCCCAGGACCCAAGTCGATAACAAACCTGGGGATCAGAGATCCCCAGCGGACTACTTATATACAAGAGGTGACGTAAGATATGACATAAGTGAGCACAGCATGATGTCTTGGAGACAGAGAACTTCTGCCCAAGTCAGAAGACGTCATAGCTGTGGAGTGCCCTGACAGTTCCCAAGGCTTTCGCCGAATGCGTGGGGAACGGAGGGGAGCAGGGGGTACGTCTTTCATTTCGGCAGGTTCAACAGATGTAACATTGGCAGACTCATCATACAAACATGTGAAACGATTAGGAGACGCGATCGAGGGCGTACCGCTCACTCGTCGCGTGGGAGAAACCCCTGCCCTTCCTCGGCGCCTACAGACTCCGGCTCAGGTAGCGAGTTGGTGGTGGCAACCCGAGCCACCAGCTCAGAGAGGAGCTCGGACCCAAGCTGATGAATGACCTCGTCAAGGACATCAGCGGCTCGGACGTCAGCCGGGGTGGGGCAACCCCGGGTCAGGTGTGGACCGCCGCATCGGTAGCAGCCACGGGGAGGTTATCTCCCGGAACGCGTGCGATCAACGTCCATGGGGACTACCTGCGGAGGAGCAGGAGCTGGCATGGCCCGAGGAGGAGGCGCAGGGACAACAGGGAAGACACCTGCTGGACGTGAGCGAGCGGCTGGCGGAGCTGAGGGGGCTTTCGGGAGAAGCCCAGCAGCACGAGCCCGCACGTGTGATTCGTACTGGCGGTACACTCGGGTCCGCCATGCGATGTAGTCGCGGAGGTCTGGGGGGTCGCTGAACGAGGTGATGGCTGCATTGATGGCGGGGGTCAAGGCCAGAGTGGAACTTGGTGACCTTGACCAACGCGTCAGCAAACCCAGCAAGGTCGAAGAGGTCTTCAAAGTCATCAGTGTACTTGAAGACATCCCGGGAGCCCATATAGTATGCCCTAGACTCGAGTTTGTGTGGGGCGTGCTCCTGCTCGTTCTCCTCGACAAAGCGTGAGCAGAACTCCTTGGTGAAGGCCGTCCCAGGTGAGGAAGGGGAAAGGGGTTTTGATGGACATGCGCTCAGCCCATTTTTGCGCAGAGTCTTTGGACATAAAGGACATGGTGAAACGCACTGCCTTTTCCTCAGACATCTCGCCACCTTCGACAAACGCCTCCGGAACCGGTCGGATGTAAGTCCGAGCTGAGTGAAGGAAGGCCCGGCCAGCCGAGCGGTCGCCGTCAAAGACGAAAGGGGGGTTCGGTCGAAGGACCGTTTTTGCTGCCGGGGTGAGGTTGGCAAAGAGTCCTGGACTCTCGGCCGGAGGCTCTGGAGGAGTGGCAGGGGTCGGAGCAGTAGTAGTGGAAGGATTGGCAGCAGTTTGAAAAAGCTCGACCAGACGGTCAACAGTCCTCTCGAGCCTATCCATCCGCTCAGCGGCGGCAGAGTCGGGGCAAGATTCGCGGTTTGCGCATCTGAGACAGCAGAGGAGGAGTCCGACGAAGCGTCTGAGAAATCGCCAAAGCGCGCAATCTTGACCAGTTAATAATCCCTTGGAGCCTTTCTTCTGCTGTAAGGGCAACCTTTAGGACCCGAGATGTCTCGAGGGTCTAGCGAGGGAGAATCCAAAGTTAATTAAAGACGCTACTAGGAATACATTACAGCGCACCTAGCGAGGGAGAATCCAAAGAGAAGAAAGGCTAAGGATTCCCACGCTAGGTGTGGCAAACATATACTAACTCGTTCCCACAGGGCCGGGGTCAACCAGCAATACTGTACTATTTCAATCAATTCGTCTGTCACGCGTCACAGGCCCTCGAATAGACGAATATTTTCGCGCATGTCACAGTCACCGCGCCCATTGACGAATGTGACAAAATAGTCGCAAAATCCCGGAAAAATGGCCGAAAAAGAGTATTTTTTCCTCTGCGCGCTCGGCCGCGCGCAAATTGGGGCCGATTCTTTCGCCTTGTGGCCCTTGGTACGGAATGACAGAAAATGACGGCTTTTACCACCGGATCAAGACAGCCTGGGCCTACGCATCACTGTCAATCAGGATCTTTTAGCACTCTTTGCTTTAATTTGTGAGGAAATCATCATTCTTTGCTCTATTTTCGCTCCTAAAAAGTTCTTTTACAGGCGAAGGAAAGCGGTTCATTTTCAAGGTATTGACGAATATTTTTGGGTGTCACAGTCCGCATTGGTCCATTGACGAATCTCAAATTTCGTTCCAGCGTGTCACAGGTCACAGGCCGGGCGAATGACCGAAATACTACAGTAGTCTCTGGCCCGGTCACAAGCTAATGTCCCAGCTTGATGACGTGTTTGATGGAGCTCCAGATCAATGATGTAATTGGCCTTGGGCCCAAAGGTCTCAAGGCAATTTGCATCATGCTGTGCAGATCAGGGGAATGATGTAATGGACTTGGGCAGAAGTGCCTAAGTCCCTTTGCGTCATGCTGTGTAGAAAGGAGGTTCCAGCGGGTACTTATTTACACTGTTTACTCTCCAGCATACTGTACTCTCGTAAGCATTACGTAGTCTTTATGCGTTTGTAACCGAGACCACGACGTTCTCTACACAAACACAGTTTCTTTCGACTTCTTCGACGGGCCGATACTGAACAGCAATTACGCCTGACATCCCCTGACTGGACTAGTATCATCAAACAAAGAATTTAATGGAGAGGGAGGGAGGGAGAAAGACACGGAGGAGAAGAGTCCACACACCCTACAGGATAATGCTTCTTCGGCTCTCCGGTGTGACTCTAGGTTCTAATTATCTGGTTTTTCGTAGTGCTCGGATGAGTTTAGACGAAGACCCGCTCAACGTTTTGAGTCGTTTTCGCTGAGTTCTCCATAAAGTCACAATCCAAACTGCCGCGCAAGCGCAGGATTGGCGGAAGACCTCGAGGCGATCGAAGCTTGAGCGAGATGTGATCGAATAGACCAGGATGAACCCCTGGCCATCGCTGATCCCGGATGTTCAGCCCAGGTTCAGCCAGCGGAATCAGAGACCGCATATAAAGATTACTAACCGCACCATTGATCCCGCAGTGTCGCATACTCCTCTGAAGAAAGTTCTAATTGAATAAAACCTGAAGCCGTATAGGTGCCCATACCCTGACTGGCAGTATCAATGACTTCCACAAAACACATGTGGTTGTCTAGGACAAACTGTTTGTGGTATGCATCTTCTATTGTTGTATCGTAAGTCTGGAAGGGTGCTCTTGGAATGGCGAATGTTGCAATAATGAAAACACAATACCTCTGCAACATCAATAATTAACAAGTCCACATCTCAATTGGCGAGAGTTCACCCACGAAACAATTGAGGGTAAACTAAAGGGATTGCGAGTCAGACAACACAGATCTCAGGAGATTTGTGCTGACCTGAACGGCTAACGAGGTTTTACCCACACCTCCATCACTGAGGACAGTGCCTGTCCATTGATCCATTTTTGCTTGATGTCAAAGAGAGCTGATGGCCAAAGCAGTAAGCAAAGGACACTCAAGGTAGCGGTCGCAGCCTCCAACTCTTGCT